GGCCAAATCTGGTTCTCGTTAACATTTTATCTGGCATCGAAAAGTAGCATTTTAAATGAAAAATCTCTTATTACTTTAAAGAATTTTAGATGAATTTTTAGTCACTGTTTTCTTTTGTTTTTACCTGGTTTGTGCTAAAATGTAAGAAAATAAATGAAAAAGTCGTTGACAGAGCGTAAGCATAAGAAATGAATTCTAATGATGTCTTCATAAATTGCTTTTTTTTTTATCTTATCAGGCTTTGCATGTTCTGAACTCTACGTAAAACAACTTTGAAAAGGTCATTTATATCTCTAACAAAAGATAACGTTATTTAAATACAAAAATTAGCCCTTAGCTTGGACCAAGTTCTGAATTTTGGCTCTCTTGTGTAACTGAGTTCGACACCCCTGCTCTAATGGAAGTTAATAATTAAAAGTATTTTATAAACTGTCACGTTTGCATAATTTGTATCCATAAAACACACGTAGAGGTATGTTTTTCCAGCATAATATAAAAATATTCACTACATGCTGGAATGCAATTTATACCAATCTGAAGTTTCCTTTAAAGAAGGGCGCGCTACAAAACACTTCCCACCTTACAGAAAACGCTTCCACGTCTGCTCAGGTAGTACGGTCGTTACGTAACATTTCCGTTTGCCTGCGCCTTGATAAGAGATTTAATAAATATTTATTGCTTAGTTCCTTAAGTTTATATGACTGTGTTTTATCACACCCATGAGCAGACCTTGAACTCTTACAAGAAACTGCAGCTGAAGTGGGGCTGAGTGAAGTAAATCAGTACCTTCTCATTGTACACTTCTCCTCTCAGCACCTCCGGAGCCATCCAGTAGGGGGAGCCGACAACAGCCAGGGGCTCCTGGACCTCCTCCTCACTGAAGAGTTAAAAAAAAAAAAAAAGAGTTTTTGTTCAATTCTTGAGAAACTTCAAAAACACCAACATGTAGAATAATCCGATTAAACATCGCTTTCAGGCATTTTGTGGAGGAAAACAGTTATTGAGCAGAAAAACAGGAGGGAAGATCTTATGGAGTTACACCAAACAAACGGTTGGCATGTGATCTTTACAGTGGCAACAACAGATTAGTGGTGGGAGGGAAAGAAAACTCCAGTTAAAAACAAGAATCTAATTGTTTTAATGTTGCACTTTAAAAAAGAAATGGTATTACTGAACAATAAAAAAATGAAAAAGACCAAAGGACAAATTAGCTCAATCTGCGTCCAATTTAAGATCAGTTAGGACATCACTGTCGAGATGATCTTTTATAATATACAAAAGGCTTTTCTTGAATTATTCATTGCCTATGCAGAAACAAGCACATCTGTTTTATTTAGTTATTTATTTGGACAAAAAGCCCCAGTGGGCAAACCGACTTGTTACTGCAGTCATATAAAAATAAAATAAATACATTATGAATGAACCTGGCATGCTAAACAAAAGAGATCAACACTAATGTGAAATTACTGCGACACTGCTCAGCTGTGTACACAGCATATTAACCTAGGAACTAGAATGGAAACTGAACAAAAAAGGGAAAAAATAATAATACAAGCATGACATTGTTAAAAAAGGAACTGATGACAATCAGTTATTGATGAAGGTCTCCTAACCATATTACAAGGGGTTCAACCCTCCTATACAGTTGTGTTAAAATTTCTGTATTTTATTGCACAAGATTCTAGATGAACTTACGACTAATTCAGCTGCTGCCGTCTTGGAATGACTCAAATCTAAAAGATTTTATAGCAATTCATGCAGACGCCATCTTATTACATCAGTTTCTTGCACAGAAGTCTTGTTATTTGCAAGTAGCAAACAGCAACAGCAGCATTTAGCTGTAGCATTTCTGGTGCAACTTTGGATAATTCCTGCAAAAAACTATATTTTTGGTGGAAGCATGCTTAGTTTGCATGAACAAAATTGTTTTAAAATGGCAGAAATCATCTTTGGAGCTGGCTTTAGCTCATCTTCCTGAAACTACAACCCATTATTCCAAATGGAGAATTCTTAATGGTTTCTACTGATAAGTTTTACTAAACATGATGATGATAAACTTTATTAATTTCATAAAACATAAAAAAACATTAAAAAAACAATTTCTATGTACAATAAAAAGAAATACAAATAAAATGAAATGAAAGGTGGCAGAGAGAAGAAAATAATCTTATCTGCCCCTTTTTTACAAATACAAATTCAAACTATAAAGATTTTTCAGTTACTAACATAAAACAAAACAATGGGCCTCATGCAGGAACATGTTCGTATT